CTCCCATACTGCACTCCACTCTACTCTACTCTCTTCTCTACTCTCCCATACTGCAATACACTCTACTCTACTCTACTCTACCATACTCTACTCCACTCTACTCTACTCTCTTCTCTACTCTCCCATACTCTACTCCACTCTACTCTACTCTCTTCTCTACTCTCCCATACTCTACTCCACTCTACTCTACTCTCTTCTCTACTCTCCCATACTCTACTCCACTCTACTCTACTCCAGCAGATTGTGAGCTCATGTTATGAATGTATATACAGAGAGAAAGTGAAGAATCGGGGCTGAGTGGTTTTATTGTAACTTTTCTGGTAAATTAATTTGTAGTTTCTTCATGATAAATGTCTGTTCATGTATCCATCTACTTTTGTTTTACAACAACCCGCTCAGGGACTACAGGTGTAAATTAGCAATGCTGCTACAACCTGGTACAATGCATTCCTCCCTTTTGGTTTATGTTTATTGTACACTGTCTGTGCAAAAAATCAGTTCTTTGTTAAGTTCTTCTCTGACACTAAGAGCTTTGGTTTTAATTGCAAGAAGTTTTAGTCAGAAATGAAAAAAAACCTTCTGACGGAATCTCACTGCGTCACCGTGGTAATCGTACATCGTTTAGGCATCCAGACAGAGAAGACAAATGCAAATGACCGCCTCACATTATGGCATTCATCTGCCGGAAACACAAAACAACAATCAAAAAGTGATGGGAAATCGTATGAACGGGTAAATTTCTCTTTCTTCAAATGTCAAACTGAAATACTTCCAAGGACCATGAAAGCTAAAGAAGAGTTTATTTACTGTAAATGCTTCCTGGAAATGTTTGTTTTATCAACTCGCCGAACCTACTCATATTGCATGTGTATAACTGACTTTATAACAGAAAAGGCAGCAGAATCACACTATTGTCTGATATAAATTAAAACCTGTATAAAGTATAATATTAGTGTGGGGAAGCTGGCCCAAGGGTCGAAGTGAGACAACATTTATTTTACACAAGAGCAACAGACTCAGGTGGCCCCGCCCAAGCATAAATTGGCTGACTAAGACACACCCTAAGTTAAGTAAGTAAACTTTATTTATATAGCGCCCTTCACAGACCAGGGTCACAAAGCACTTCAAATAGTATAAAAAACAGACATAGTATAAAATAAACATACACATTTTTAAAGGCCAAGACAACCATGTAAAAACAGCCAAAAAATTATGCAAAAGCTTGAATAAATAAATGTGTTTTAAGTGTGTCTCCTCTGGTCCTGAAGCGAGTGCGTGGAACCATCAGGAGGTTCCATGCTGTTTACTTACTGTTTGAGTTTCCAATTTGTGTTAGAGAATTTGACAAAACTATTGTTGGTATTTATGGCTTTAAAGGGCATACATTGAATTGAATCTGGGCGGGTTTCCTCCAGGTTCCCATCGACCTAAAACATGCAGTAGAGGCAAGTCGTACAGGGATTAGTCAAAGTGAAGGAAGGTTTCTCACCCGTCATCTGTACTTCCTAGCAGGTTTTCTCTACGTTTTGTCCTTAATCCAAATAACTTTTTCAAGGGGATGAAAGCTCAATCAGGGCGTCAGAGGTTTAAGGTGATATACTGAAATGAGGGACCAAACCAACATGGACATGGGTGGACATGGATCAGTATCGATGGTTTAAGTTAACTTTTTCCTTGCTGTCTGTAATGTACGGTTCTGTTTCCAGCTACGTCTCACAAACAGCTATTTTTAGTGGTCCCTGGAATGAGTTTCAGTTATGATAAACAAACTTGCAGCATTGATATTAAGAGGTTAATGAAGATACCAGAGCTGTGTTATAAAACCAACTTTATCAAGAAAACAACCACTTACTTTCAATCTTACTTACTTGCAATCTAAATTCTTGACCGAACACCTCACAAATAGCCTCGATTAAAATAGCCTCAGCATAGGGAGGGTGGACATCTTTTGTTTTTGTATTTAATTTAGGTAGCCCAGCTTTAAATTCACTGATGAGGTTCACTATCAGCACACTGACGTCTTAGCTCAGGTGTGTAACCTCAGAGATGAGCTTCACAGTCAAAGTCCAGACCCATCTGCCTCGTCCCGCGCCGTACTAAGATGAAGAGGAGTTTAAGAGGACGGACAGAGAGTGTGAGAGAGAGTCAGTGGACAAACAAGAAATGACAGTTACCAAGTCATACATGATGAATGCCAGCCGATTTCTGAGGCATGATGACATGTGACATCATTTTAGACACCAGGAATTGAAGGTGTTTATATAACGTTATATATTAGTTATGATACAAACCCATCAACACATGCTGGAGAAGTTCTCAATGTGTTAAACACTAAAATCAATGTTTGAAAGTAAACACTGTGACACTGGACTGAAGCAGAAGATAAAGCACCTGTTTTTTCCAGCGCTTGTGATGGAACACTTGTATTGACGCTGCAACCGACTGTAGCGCTGAGCCCTTTCACCGGTTCATCTCTCTGAAGGACACGGCAGCCACCAACTCCAGCTCCTTGTTTCACTGAGCCCTGCAGCCCAGTTACAGACAGAACTTCAGACTGTAGAATGTCTTCCCCACTCCAGCCACGCCACAGGTCAGCACTGCTCTGATGAGACTGTGGCGCCCACCTGCTCGCTCCTGCAGTGGGCAGAGCTTTAAAGATGTCTCAGTCACTGATGGAGGAGTTTCCTGGCACATCTTCTTGGAAGTTCCACAGCCTCTGCTCCTCATTGCTGTTGGGCATCTTCATGGAGAGTTTCCCTCCCCCTCTGGCTCCTCAGCTGGGCAGTCTATCTTGGAGAGTTCCCTCAGCCTCCGCTCCTCATGCAGGGACTGTGGAGTGTTCCACTAGCCCTCTGCTTGATTTACAGCTCAGTGAAGATGCAGTAAGAGGAGCTAACTTCCTGCTCTTCTGTTCCCTCGTCCACACTCCCATATCTGCTGATCAACGCTGGTTATAATGATGCCTGGCAGAAGCCTCTGGAGCTCTCTTCTGTGAGAGGAAGCAGACGTAACAGTTCTTATCATGTTGTTTCTTATTAATAATACTTTCTATTACAGCAATGTTTTCATTTAGACTTATTCCCTGTTTCCAGAGTCTCCTTTTTTATCTGTGCAAGATTAAGTCTCAGCAAGTTACTTCAGCTTTAGTGGCACAGTGCATCCAGAAAGAACTCAACCAACCTTCATGCAGTTGACTATTTGAAACTTATGTACATAGGGAATTCTTTGTGTTTTGATTCTTAACCAACGGCAAAGTGAACCTAAAAAACATCTAAAAACTTGTCATAGAGTATTCCGAGTAGATTGACAGGATAATGAAAACCGTTGAGATAACAAACTGAAGAAATGCAACTTAGGATGTCGCGCCGCTCTGAACACTTTGCCGCATTTTGATATCCGATATTAATGTTTCTATTAGGCCGATACCAGTATTTTGCTGATAACGATGTTTATAAAATAATACTAATAATAATTCTGAGATGATAAAAGTTTGTACATACAGGAATTAATTCCTATTTTTCAGAATGTATTTTTATTTTAGTTAGAAAGCGATTGGCGCAAAAGGCACACAGGAGCTATTTTGTGGGCTCTTATTTTGAGGTGAAAACCTATCTTTAAATGCGCGTATGTAGGTAGTTATAAAAAGAGTAATGATAAAAATAGACAAGAATAATAGTCACCAATAATAAATGATAACATTTAAAAACTATGATAAGGTTCTAACATAGTATTAAAAGTGGTACATTTCAAGCTATCAATAATACGGTTGATTACATAAAGATGAATTAGAGTTCCGTAATCGAGTATCCTCTAGCAACCTGACCAGTGATTGATGACACACCGGCTGATATCGAATTTTTATACCAATATACGTGCTCACTGTTGAAAAATGAAATAAAAGTGAAAGAGGTGGAATACTTCATGAGCAGGTGTCCAGACTGGTTTGTCCACTATCGATTTATATTCAGATTAAACAGGAGGAAATGTTTTCTATAATTGAGGAGATGTTAGAAAGTACAGACTCAGTCTATTTTTACACTTGTTCCAAATGAAAAACATCCTAAATGAGACCTAAGAATAATCTCCTCCACTATATTTGTGAATAGTTGGTTAAAAGGAATAGTATTTTAGAAGTCTCCGGAGAGAAGTTAAGTGCGCGACGTAGCGCTCCAAACTCTCTCCGGAGACTTCTCTCTCGCTGCTACTGTGTGTACTAAAAGTCACGCTGCTTCTATTGACGGAAGTGAGCGCGAGAAAAGTCCTCCGGAGAGAAGTTCAGTGCGCGGACAGCGCACCTCAATTACTACGCCTCACAATATAGTACCTTTTATCTGCTGATAAAATCGACGTTACATAATCTGTGTTACTATACTTTGGCAGTGTAACACTGTCATGTAACTATATACATTTAATAGGGAACACTTGGAAGAGCTTGGTAGCTTCTAGCGGGAAGCTACCTTTGGTACTAATACAGTGACAAGAGGAGCTCGGTTTGTGCACCCGTTTTTGCTCCGTTTGCATGACAAGAGCGCACGGACTAAGACCAGACAGGTACGTAATAACTAGTGCAAAGGTAAGGTAAGAACATATGAGTCATATGTAAAACGGTTAACTATTCCTTTAGAAGAGCTTCAGAATTGACCTAAAATGTCCATGAGGCTGGAAGTCGCTCCGTGGAATAGCACCATCTTCAAACACACAAACATAAGAGCCAAAAAGACGTGAGGATCGAGAGATTGTCTGATCTCATCAGGTGGATACAAAGAAATAATATCGTTGCTCACGTTAACTGATTGGCGCTCGAGAGATGAACTTTAAAATATGATCTCAACGTTAGAGGTAGCAAAAAAGACTATCTTTAAAGCCTTTACTTGCATTTGTTTATATCCAGTGTCGGTCACATTACAAATCCTAGATGGAAACATTTACTGCAGTACAACAATTAACAAGTTAACAACGTTCTTTTAACTGAGTGCATTGTGTGTTTCTTCTACCTCTGGTCATAACCAGGGAAACAGACAAAACCATGTGTCGCCCTGATGCTTGTGTCCCCTGAGGTCTTTGGTCCCAGAGGTCTTGTGGCCCTGAGTCTTGGCCCTGAGTCTTGGGCCCTGAGGTCTTAGTGGCCCTGAGGTCTTGGGCCCGGAGGTCTTGGGCCCTGAGGTCTTGGTTCCTGAGGTCTTGGGCCCTGAGTTCTTGGGCCTCTGAGGTTCTTGGGCCCTGAGGTCTTGGCCCTGAGGTCTTGGCCCTGAGTCTTGGGTCCTGAGTCTTGGGTCCCTGAGGTCTTTGTGCCTGAGGTCTTGGTCCTGAGGAGTTCTTGGTTCTGATGTCTTTGGCCCTGGGTGCTGGAGTCCAGCAGTGAGTATTCTTCTGGACAAAAACATTGGATTTAGAGCAGTAAATGGTTTATTAAAAGTATATACATAACATTATGAGGACTTTGTGTGTAGTAAAGGTGATGTTGTTGTGAGTTTGACCTCGTATGTTAGCTTGTGGTCAGATGTACCTCTGATCTGTGTCTACAGAGCTCCAGGATCAATGGTTCTGTATGTTTTCTGGTGCGGGGTCCCACAAGCAGAGACAACATCCTAAACACTGGATCCTAAAGCATGGTACAGACCACTGTGATGAACTGAAGCACCATGAGCACATCAGCTCTCACTACAAGTCAAATGTCAAACAATATACACTTTATTTCCACAAAAGCACCTATTACTAAAATACACACGTTCCATGTTCATGACCATGAACCCTCTTTTCACATGTGATGTTCAAGGTTTAATCCCACTGGTGATTCTATGACTAATCCTGCTACTCTGTCCAGTCGTAAACTTTAAATATAAATGTAATCTAAAGTCAGATCAGTGTTAAGGCGAGATCAGACCAAACGCTCTCAAAAGCTTTGGACCTCGCTTACAGCTGACGCAGATAGTTTTGTCATTTTTGGTGCTTGAAGCATTTGACGCGAGTTCGCGGACCGCGCGCCTGACGCCGGTGGAAGGAGCTTCTCTGTTGTCAGTAGTCAGGCAGCGTATGGATTTTCAATGAGCAGCCGAGCCTTTATTTGTTAATAAAAGCAAAAAAACATTGTTGTAGGGCTTCAAACAAAACATGTTCTGTGGTCCCCATAGCCTTGAGATGGCAGCAGTGTCTTTGCAGAGTTCCGTCATTTAGCTCCAGGAGCTGCGTACGGAGGAGATTTCGCTTTCAGCGGAACTTCCGCATGTCCACACGCACCACATGTCTGTATTCTCAAACCCCGGAGCTCGCCTCTCCCGCCTCGCACTTCCGCGCCATCTCCCCGCCTCTCGCTCAGCGACCGCCTCTCCTCTGCCTCACCCCCGGCTCCGCATCGCCTCTCCCCGGCCTCGCTCTCAGCCCTCTCCCTGCCACGTCCCCGGACATCTCCGCTCTTTCTCCCTGCCTCTGATCTCCCCGACTCTCGCTCCTGACCGACTCATCGTCAGCCTGTTCTTATAATAAATAAACAACATTGACTACACAGCATGTGTTCAATGAATTTTGTTACTCCCAGAACGATACTACTCATAATCATATAGCAAATAATAGTTACAAATAACAATACTGACACCAAACAGCATGCAACAGATCACATGACTTCTTCATCATGAAGAGACAGACCCGCAGCTGCAGCAGCTGCCTCGTCCTCCTGATGGGTTGAAGCCCGCGTCACCGCTTCAACAAAGCTCAGCTTATCTCCCTATCGTCGTCAAAGGGATTGTTTTGATACGAGCGCGCGTTTCGCGTGTCAAAAAGACTTCAAGTGAGCGCAGTAGTACATTTAAGCTTTGAACGCGCGCCAAGATGACGCCGGTGCCTATCGGCTTCACCTAGACGCGCTTCACATTCACTTTCAATGCAAACCTGACGCTTTTGACGCCGAAGTACGTCCGGTGTTAACGCCCCTTTAGTGTTTCCTTTGTTCTCACTAGTGGGTTAGAAGAATGCCGACTTCAATGAAAGAACTCTGGTGTTCCACATAGACCTTCACTCTTCTAGGTAGCCCAGCACTGACACGTGACTGATCTGTGTGGAGCGAAAGACCAAGGTTACTCTGGTCCATGTTCAACCATCAACAGAACAGGAAAGAAATGTGTTATAATGCATTATACTATGGACTAAAGACAGGCATAGCGACACAAGAGAGAGACTAAGAGACGAGATAAGATACAGTAGGTACAAGATCGAGAGAGACCAATGAGACCAGGGAGAGAAACCATAAAACTTGTTATTTAATGAATTCTCAAGAAAACAACTGTACAGAGAAGATAGCTCCAAATAAACACTAATATTCCTTGTTATTAATATGAGAGAGGAATGAGTTCCACTGGGTGTCTCTCTCTTTGGTCTCTCTCTTTCTGCTGTCTCTCTTTCTCTCCTGGACTCTCTCTGGTCTAGTCCCAGAGTTAGTCCCAATCGTAAATGCATTAAAAAACACATTATCTTACCTTGTCTGTTGATGGGTTGAGAACAGGACCCAGAGTCACATGGTCTTTCTCTCCACACACAGAAGGAGCGCAAACATCACTAGCAAGATGACGTAAAAGAACGCCAATAAAGAAAAAAAATCCCCTCAAGTGTCCCAGTGCTCGAGTCCCTGATGAGTGACATGGTCTATGTGGAATCCACCAGAGTTTCATTCTTGAAGCGCTTCTTCCAAACCCACAGTGAGAACACAGGAAACACTAAAGGGCTTTCACACCGGGACTTAACTCGGCGTAAAGCGTCAGGTTTGCAGTTGAAAGTGAATGGTGAAGCGCGTAGGTGAAGCCGAGAGCCCCGGCGTCACTTGCGCGCGTCAAAGCTTCAAAAGTAACTACGAGCGCTCACTTGAAGCATTTGACACGCGAAACGCTCGCTATCAAAACATCCCATTGGACGCCGAAGCTGAGCAAAGCTGAGCTTTTTGAAAGCTTTGAACGCGGGCTTCAACCAATCAGGAGACAGAGCAGCAGCAGCAGCGGTCGTCACTGTCATGAAGAGAAGTCATTTATCTGTTGCTGCTGTTTAGTTTGTCATTAATGTTCTTATATAATATTATTTTGTTAATGAGTAGAACGTTCTGCAGAAACCAAAAATCATATGAACACATGCTGTGTGTAGTCCAAAGTCAGTTAATTTAATAAGAATCAGGGCTGACATGAGTCTGGCTCAGAGCAAGAGCTCGGGGAGAAGGCAGGGAGAAAAGAGCGAGATCGGGAGAGGCAGGGATAAGGCGAGAGCGAGGCGGGGCAGAGGCGAGCGAGATCTCTTGTACAGAGGCAGGAGAAGGCGAGCGAGAGGCGGGGAGATGCGAGAGCAGGCGGGAGAGGCAGCTCCAGGAGGTTTGAGAATCCTACTGGGCTTGTGACATGCGTGAAGTACCACTGACAGCGAAACTCCTCGCGTACGCAGCGCCAGAGAGTAAATGACGAGGAACTCTCGCAAACACTGCAGCCTCACAAGTCTGTGGTGAACCCAACATGTTTGTTGAAGCCCTACACAATGTTATTTTGCTTAATAAACACAAAAATGTCCTCGCTGCTCAATGAAAAAACCAAACGTCTGTCCTCTGACTAGCAGGACAGACAACCGAGAAGGCTCCTCCCACCGGCGTCAGGCGCGTCACTCGCGTCAAAAGCTTCAAGCACTCAATATGACCAAAACTATCTTGGCGTCAGCTGAAGCGCGTCAAAAAAAGCTTTTGAATGCTTTGGTCTGAACGCGCCTTAACACTGATCTGACTGTAGATTACATTTATATTAAAAGTTATACGACAGGACAGAGTGAAGGCTTAGCCATAGAATCACCAAGTGCGATTAAACAAGGAACATCACCTGTGAAAATAGGGTATCCTGGTCCATGACAAGGAACTTCGCTATTTTAGTAATGTGCATTTGTGAAATAAAAGTGATGATATTGTTCAACAAGTTGACGCTTGTAGTGAGAGCTGCAATGTGCTCATGGTGCTACATCACATCACAAGTGAGCCTGTACCATGCTTTAGGATCCCTGTTTCGGGCGGTGTTCTCTGCTGTGGGACCCCCAGCACCAGAAAACATACAGAACGCATTGATCCTGGAGCTCCTGAGATAACACAGATCCATAAGGTGAAACCATCTGACCACATGCTACACTACTAGGTTGCAAACACAAACACAACAAACAAGCCACTTTACTACACACAAAAGTCTCATCAATGTTATTTATATACTTTTAATAAACCATTACAGCGCTCATATCCATGTTTATGTCCAGAAAAACACACATGCAGTAGCTCCAGCCCCAGGGCCCAAGACCCAGGACCCAAGACCTCAGGACCCAAGACCCTCAGGAGCCCCAAGACCTCAGGCCCAAGACCTTCAGACCCAAGACCTCAGGCCCAAGACCTCATGGCCCTAGACCTCAGTGGCCCAAGACCTCAGAGACCCAAGACCTCAGGGCCCAATAACCTCAGGACCCAAGACCTCAGGGCCCCAAGACTCAGGGCCCAAAGACCTCAAGTTCCCAATGAGACCAAGGCCCAAGACCTCAGTGCCCAAACCTCAGGGCCCAAGACCTCAGGCCCAAGACCATCAGGGCCCAAGCCCTCTAGAGCGACACAAGGTTAGTCTATGTTTCCCAGTTTATGACATCAGGTAGAAACACACAATCCTCAGTTCCAAGAACTGTTGTTTACTTTGTCAATTGTTTTTACTGCAGTAAATGTTGTTTCCATCTAGGTTTATAATGTACCGTGCCACAGGATATAAAACAAAATGCAAGTAAAGGAAGCTTAAAAAGATAGTCTTCTTTTCTACCATCTAACTTGTTGAGATCATAAGTACCGTCAAATCTCGAGGAGCCACGCAGTTAAAGTAGCAACGATATTGTATCACCTTGAGCTCACAAACTCGCAACCGCACCGTCCGTCCTTTTTGTCTCTTATGTTTGTGTGTGTTTGAAGATGGTGGCAATCACACTGAGCGACATTCCAGCCTCCTGGACATTTATAGGTCCACAATTCTAAAGCCTTTAAAGGAAAAGTATCACCGATTTTTACATACTGACATATGTTCTTACCTACCTTTAGAACTAATTAATACGTACCTGTCTGTCCTTAGTCCGTGCCTCTGTCATGCAAACGGAGCAAAAAAGAACGGGAGCACAAAACCGTCAAGGCCATCCTTCTGACACTGTATAGAACCCCAATGAGCTTCCCGCTAGAAGCTACCAAACTCTATCCCAATGTTCCCAATTACATGTATATAGTTCGTGACGTGTTAACACTGCAAAGTATAGTAACAACAGAATGAAAACAGTCCCGATTTCAAATGCGGATAAATACGGGTACTATATGGTGCGGCGTAGTAATCTGAGGTGCCTAACGTCCGCGCACTAACTTCTCTCCGAGACTTTCTCACTCGCTCACTTCCGTCAATGAAGGCAGCGTGACTAGTAGTACACACAGTAGCAGGCGGAGAGAGAAGTCTCCGAGTAGAAGTGTTTGAGCGCTACGTCCTCCGCACTTAACTTCTCTCCGGAGTAGACTTCCTTAGAAACAATTCCTTTAACAACTATTACACAAATATAGTGGAGACGATATTCTAAGTCTCATTTAGATGTTTTTCTTTTCATTTGGACAAGTGATAAAAATACTGCAGTCTGTACCTTTAACATCTCCCTCAATTAAAGAAACCTTTTCCTCCTGTTTTAATCTGAATATCACGATAACGTGGACAACCAGTCTGACACCTGCTCCTGAAAGTATTGCCACCTCATTCACTTATTATATCATAAAAAAAAAAAACATTATTCAAAACAGTGAAGCACGAATATCTTGGTAAAAATATCCGAACTCGCTGCCAGATGTTACATCAATCTCCATGTTCAGGCTTGCTAGAGATACTCGATTACGCGCGCAACTCTAAAATCACATTTCTGAAACACAACAGTCTAATTAAGCATGAACTGTCCACTTTTAATACTAAGTAAAACCTTATCTAGTTTTAATGGTTATCAATTATATTGGTGACTATTTATTCTTGTCTAATTTTATCCATTACTCTTTTTATAACTACTCCATACCGCTGCATTAAAGACGTTTTTCACATCAAAATTGAGCCACAAACAGCTCCATCCTGTGTGCCTTTTCTTCCCACATCGCCCATTCTAGAAAACTGGAAAAACATACATTCAAGAAAATAGAAGAAATAAATTCAGTTATGTCCAGAAGCTTATAACATCTCAAAGAATTATTATTATTATTATTTTAATAAACAACGTTATCATCAAATACGTTATCTCGGCCATCCAAAAACATTAATAACGGGCGAATATCAAAATCGGCCAAAGTGGTTCAATCGTTGCATTCCCTAATTTTCATTTCTACAGTTGTAATCTCAACTGTTTTCAATTTCTCTGTCAATCTACACGGAATACTCTATGACAAAGTTTAAGATGTTTTTTAGGTATCTTTGCCGTTTGTTAAGAATCAAACACAAAGAATCCCCAAGTACATAAGTGTTCAAATAGTCCAAACTGCATGAAGGTGGAGTTGAGTACTTTCTGGATGCAGCTGTGCCACTAAAGTGCGAAGTAAACTCTGCTGAGACTTACAACTTACACAGATAAAAGAGACTCTGGAAACAAGGGAACTAAGCTCTAAATGAAACATAGCAGAATAGAAGATACTATAAAGCAACACATGATTTAAACTGTTCCATGCATGTCCTCTCACAGAGAAGAGCTCCAGAAGCTTCTGCAGGATCATAAACAGCGTCTGATTCAGCAGATGTTGAGTGTGCCGATGAACAGAAGGAGCAGGAAAGTACTCCTCTGAACCAGCATCCCTTCACTGTCTCATGAGACATCACAGAGGGCCACAGGAACCACCACAGCCACAGCATGAGCGAGCGGAGCTGAGGGAACTCTTCCAGGAAAGACTGCCCAGCATGACGGAGCAGAGGCCTGAGGGAACATCTCCATGAAGACTCGAGAAGTCAGTGCCCACATGAGGAGCAGAGGCTGAGGGAACTCTCCAAGAAGACAGTTGCAGGAAACCTCCACATCATTGTGTCAGACATCTTTAAAGCACAGCCCACTGAGGAGCAGCAGGGGCGCACAACAGTCCATCAGAGCACTGCTGACCTGTGGCTGGCTGGAGTGGTGGAAGACCTTCTCAGAGTCCCTTATCAAGTACTTCTGAACTGGTCTCAGGCTCAGATAACCAGGAGCTGAGGCTGGTGGTGCCGCTGTCCCTTCAGATAGATGACCCTCAGGTAAAGGCAGGCGCTACAAGTCTGATGCAGCTCAAACAAGTGTTCCAACCAGCCGCTGGAAAAACAGGTGCTATATCTTCTTCTGCTTCAGTCCAGTTTCACAGTGTTTTTACTTTCAACCATTTACTAATAGTGTTTAACCACAACAGAGAACTCTCTCCCAGCCCTGAGACAGATGGCGTTTTGAATCATAACTAATAAAACGATATAAAAACACCTTCATACATCCCTGGTGACAAGACTGATGCACATGATATCATGCTCAAAACTGCTCTGCCTATCATCAACTGTATGACTTGTGTACTGTCATGTTCGTGTGTCCCACAGACTACTCGATACTCCACACCTCTGTCCGTCTCGAAACTCCTCTTCATCTTAGACGTCCTGGACAGAGCAGACTGGGTCTGGACATTGACTGGTGAGCTCATCTCTGAGGTACACAGAGCTCAGACGTCAGTGAGCTGATAGTGAACCTCATCAGAGGCACTCTGCATCCTACTTGCCTTGATATGTATCACCTCCAGACCGATCACAGCCAATCAATCCCAGCACAGAGTGTGCACAGAGTCACAGAGGTCAGAGGCTTCATCACTGAGCGTCAGAAGGAGCAGACTTCAGGGAATAGGTTCACAGATGAAGAGCAGTGTCAGACAGGTCCTGTCCCCAACATCCAGAAGCCCCGCCAGCCTCACACACATCTCATGTGTCCAGATCCCCATCTCTGCTGATCACCGCCCCCGAGAACGAGTCCTGGACACACCAATGATGAGAACCATCGAAGCGGAGCGCTTTCCCCAGACTCACAGCGACATGTACGCTGGCTTCCTAATTGGTGCAGACCAACTAATAGAGAAAAGAACAACCGGCGACCTGAGCCCGTTCAGCGAAAAGCAGTTTTTTTGGTCTGGGTCAGTTCATAAGCTGAACCAGAATCCAACAGTGTGTCAAACAGAAGCAGACACCTCCAGACGCGGCAGACTGGCCATTTGCAACATCTGGCTGCTAGGAAACATAATGTTTCTACCAGGAAACCTGGAGCAGTTGGGACTGGACCTGACCGAGGCCTCTCGGTCTACTCAGGACTCTGTACAAGATCTTCAACATCAAAAGTGTTGTCTTCAAAAACCAATTCTGTCTACAGCATCGTCCATCCTGAGTGTCCAGACTGGTTTTCATGGGCAGGCGGTATACCTGCTGCACTGCTTTGGAAAGATACAAGCAAGTCCGTTTGAGAAGTTTCACTGTGAAAAGACTCAGACCAAAGTCAAGTGCAAGTGGAGTTTCTCAGAAAGTCTCTTGATAAATCCCTGAGTGGTTCAAACGAGATCGCCGGACCTGTTTGTGTGCTTCCTTCATGCCCTCAGTCTGGACTCCACCAGAACTTTAAAAGGTCTGCTGAATCCAAGTGGAACAGTCCAGAAATACCACAAATCATTGAAAACTCACAAAGAGAGAGCTCAGAGGAGAGTCTTCAGACAGAACATCAATCATCTCCACTGTCAGATGGATGAAGGACCTGTGCTCCTCGCTGCCGCTGATCCCAGCTTCTCCTGAAGTCTGGAAGGGACTCGCAGACGAACGTCTGTGTTCCAGTGCACCTCTCTGGCCTTCAAGCTGGCAGAATGTCAACCAGTACCTGGGAGGACCTGAACCAAAGAAGTACAACACGACTGCAGAAGGTGTAGGCAGACTGATCCCTGCTGTGAGGAACAGCAGGAAGGCTCGGCAGTTCCTCACAAACTGCTTCAAGTCCTGAACAGACTCTAACATATATAAAATCTAACGTCTGTTTTACAGGTTGTGGTGGACTGTAGACTCTCAAGACCGACTGTGAAGTGGTGGAGCATCAGCGTGAGTTTCCAGCCCCTCCCTTCTCACTGAAACTGGATCTGAGTCGTAATGAACTGAGTGACTCAAGTGTGTCAGTGCTGTGTGCTGGACAGCGGAGTCCTCACTGATGAGACTCTCCTCTCTCAGGTGAGTGTCCCTACATTAAAACATCAGGATCCTCATGTTTGTGGAGAGCTGTGTATCGTCCACATAACTGTGGGAGCAAGTTCCTCGCTCATGACCCCAGAGAGGAGTCAGCAACCGTTTAAAACGTACCGCATATATGTATTATTCAACATCCTTACAGTTTAGGCACTAACATGGACTTGTTTATCAAGATTGTTTGAATAGTAGCATTGGAAGTGGGCGGAGCTTCAGTGAGTCTGGAGAGTCAAGATCCAGCTTACTATGGATAAGGCATTAGAACGTTCTTCATAAGACACACTGTGAAGACAACATCAGTGGAACATTTCTCTGTTTGTTGGGACGCACAAACTATAGTATCACTTTTTAAAT